AGCATGTCTCTTGAGAACCGCGGCACTGAAGAATTACTTAGTGCAGAATTTATAGTTGATAATGTTACAGTGAAAAACGTTATAGTTGATAATGTTGATAATGTTACAGTGTAAAATATTATAGTTGATAATGTTACAGTGTAAAATGTTATAGTTGATAATGTTACAGTGCAGAATGTTATAGTTGATAATGTTACATGGTAAAATGTTATAGTTGAAAATGTTACAGTGTAAAATGTTATAGTTGATAATGTTACAGGGTAAAATGTTATAGTTGATAATGTTACAGTGTAAAGTGCAGAATGTTATAGTGCAGAATGTTATAGTACAGAATGTTATAGTGCAGAATGTTATAGTGCAGATTGTTATAGTGGATAATGTTAAAAAGCAGATTCGGGTCTGTAGGACCCCCGTGAGTCCTCGCAGCTCTAATGTGTACCTGACTTAAGTTATGGAAACACAGGCATAACGCTGACTACACTATCCCCATGTATGGCCACATCATTTAAACAGACGAACTCTACTTCATCAGCTCCATGTCTATTGGGCAAGATCGGTAAAATCTGATGATAATCTTGATCATGGACATTTTATATTACAGCACATTATGAATATATTATAATAAATGCTTCATATCTACGAGCCCATCAAAAATTGCTTCTTGATTATTTCACAGTTGAAGAACGACCGACATTACAGTACTTGTGTTTGGGACTAGCCTGCGCATAGCAAGGGACATAAGAACACCGAGACAAAACTGGCCGACGACTAGAATAACCTTACTAGACTAACGCGACATAGTATAACCCAACCTAATAGGACGGTGAATAGCACTTCTCGACTACGCGGACAACACTTAACTTGGCTTAAACAAAAATTTAGACCTGACTAATGCCAGTAGAAGACTGATTTAGAAACAGAGTTAACCGACTAAGTTCACAACATACTGCAGTAAATACAAGACGAAAGGAGAATCAGCCTTCGTCGAATACATTTTTGAAGTCAGAGGCCACAGCAGGACAAGGGCGACCACTGCTGTGTTTTTAGTCGACCTTGGGCTCTAGCTTACACACAGATAAGTGGCGACGCCTCTGATACGCTGACCATGTTTATGCTACCAAATATTTTGAGGGAAAAATAATGTGAGTTTAACCCCCTACTCAAAACCTTAGATTAATATCATATTCGTAATCCTAATCTTTATCTACTCCAAAAGCATCTAAACATATCCTCAATCAACCTCAAACAATAACTTAAACCTCAACCCCATCCCCATCCCCAACCCCCCACACTCACCCTCACCGTACCCGTACCCGTACCCGTACCCGTACCCGTACCCGTACCCGTACCCGTACCCGTACCCGTACCCGTACCCGTACCCGTACCCTCACCCTCACCCTTCCCCTTACCTCAACCTCAACTTCAACGTCAACTGCAATCTCAACCTTATCCCTAACCTCACCCTGATCCTCAATTGAACCTTAAACTCGAACTAAAACTAACTCAAATCCTAACCCCAACAGCAAAACTTGACACTATCCTTGCCTAACATTTGGTTTTGAATCCAATCTCTCAGGAAGATGCCCCCTATACGCCAGAGCTACACCAAAGACATGCCACCAGAAGCGCTGCTACACCAGTCGTGCGAGGCCATCCTCTCCCCCTCCCAGAGCCACATCATCGAAATCCTGTCTTCGGAAGAGTACCCACTCGGTACGAGGTAAAACCGTTGTCATGGAAACGGTGACCCGCTGCTGTGGTGTTTGTGGCTGGGGCAGTGGCGTAGCTACCGTAAAGCTAGCGTAAGCAAGGCATAGGGGCCCAAGGCAAATAGGGGCCCTTTTTGAAAGTTTGAGGGGGAGGGGTGCAAATCGAAGGTCTGGGGGGGGGGGGTGCAAATCGAAAGTTTGTCCCCAGTCGCCGGGAAGGTTCGCTACGCCTCTGAAGGGCCCACTAACACTTTTTGCATAGGGGACCAAAAATCCTAGCTACGCCACTGGGCTGGGGGTTTCTTAACATTAGAAAGACTTTTTTTTTTTCTTGGTGGTTTCTGAGTTGATTGGCTAATCAGGCTCTGTGAATGTTCTAAAGGCTAGGCAGTTATCTGGTAAGATGTAGAGTCACAGTAGAGTCACAGCCATACCTAAAGAGTTAGTCACATCCTTAGGAGTCAGAGTCACAGTAGAGTCACAGCCATACCTAAAGAGTCAGTCACACCCTTAGGAGTCAGGGTCACAGTAGAGTCACAGCCATAGATTTAGAGTCACAGACACATCATTACAGTCGGAGTCACAGCCACACCATAAGGGTCAGAGTCACAACACTACTCTTAGATGTAGAGCCACAGTAGAGTCACAGTACAAGAATCACAGCCATACCCTAAGAGCCAAAATCACAGCCAACACCTTAGAGTCAGGGTCACAGTTAGAGCCACAGCCATAGAGTTAGAGTCACAGACACATTCTAGATTGATAGATTGATAAGAGTCGGAGTCACAACCCCACACTGAGATGTAGAGTCAGTAGAGTCACACCCACCCCCATTCTAGTACCAGCACATAGATACGCGACAAAAAAAAACTGTGGGGGAAAAAAGTTGAAGCTATTTCATTCAGCGTTATTGCGTACTCAGCATTAATTGGATATATCCAAATATTTCTTGAATCACACTTGTCCTCGAATCCACATACTTGCTGATGGTAAAAGACCTTCAGCTTTATCTGTTTCGCAAACTCAAATAAAGTGAGTTGTGTAACATAACACTCATAACATAAAACTCATAATACTCAGTGGCGTAGCGAGGGGGGGGGGCGGGGGTGCGGACTGCACCGGGTGACACCATTTAGGGGGGGGTGACACCAAGACAAAAAATAGCAATATATATACAGAAAAATTATAATTTTACTTAATTAAATTTTTAATTAGAGTGTATTAAATAGTCTTTTAAGAACAAAGTGGACAAAATACCGACACGGGTGGAGGGGGGGGGGGGGGGTTGGCACGTTGACGTAAACCTGCTAATGATAAAGAAAGCTTGCAACGCCCAGTTGAATTTATAACCTAATATAGATGCGAATCTTTAGTATTGTCTGAGCACAGTTTAAAGCAATCACCGTGGGGGGTGACGACGAGGGGGGGGGGGAGAGTTACATCAACTTAACGTTGCAATATATATGCCTGAGAAAAACGGTTTGGTTGCGAATCGTAATAAGCTATATGTTAATCCGTGTATGGGGGGGGGGAATAAAATTAAATATATCCAGCAGAAATAAGATTTGAATACATATACACATGCGTATACACATACTTACAAGTGTATATGGAATATATATATATATATATATATATATATATATATATATATATATATATATATATATATATATATATATATATATATATATATATATATATATATATATATATATATATATATCTTACGGGGGGGGGGGGTGACACCAGTAGGTGTCGCACCATGTTACACCCGACCTCGCTACGCCACTGATAATACTATCTACACCGCAATTTACTTCTTTTGAGTCAGAATGGAAATTACGTATTGAATTAAAATACGGCGTTTCCAGTTATAGAACATAAGTATATAAACCCGAATAGTCAAAAAACTTCGGATCCCTAAGTCTACTCAGCTTATATCGGTACCTGGAAACGTTTGGTAAAAGTAAAGACGGCTTGGCATCGAGTTTATCCTTTCATGCGCCGAGGCTATAGGGCTGGTAAGTAGGTCACAAACCAGTTCTACGGCTCAATAAAACCTGCATGAGCCATAGAACTGTTTATTGACCTACTTACCAGCCCTATAGAAATAAAGGCCTAAACTTGACTCGCCAGAGTAGCAGGCATGTTTGAAATTGATATGACCGTTTCTATATTTAAATTGTGTCGTTGTGATTTTCACAGGTACTCACGCTAACCGGAAGACGTTCAAGTACTCGGCGGATGTCGTCATACAGGACAGCAGGAAAGGTGAGGGAAGAGGTCAAGGTTACATGTGTTCAAGCCTAAGTGATTACACGTGTAACGGTCTAAATGATTACATGCGTACATGCCGAACTGATTAAATGCGTACATGCTAAACTGATTAAATGTGTACATACCGAACTGATTAAATGTGTACATGCCGAACTGATTAAATGTGTACATGCCGAACTGATTAAATGTGTACATGCCGAACTGATTAAATGCGTACATGCCGAACTGATTAAATGTGTACATGCCGAACTGATTAAATGTGTACATGCCGAACTGATTAAATGTGTACGTGCTGAACTGATTAAATGTGTACATGCTGAACTGATTAAATGTGTACATGCCGAACTGATTAAATGTGTACATGCCGAACTGATTAAATGTGTACATGTCGAACTGATTAAATGTGTACATGCCGAACTGATTAAATGTGTACATGCTGAACTGATTAAATGTGTACATGCCGAACTGATTAAATGTGTACATGCCGAACTGATTAAATGTGTACATGTCGAACTGATGAGTACATGTCTGATTACATGCGTACAGGCCTTTAGGACTTTACAGGCGTAGGCATTTAATGACAGAATCAGATTTACAGACTTAAGACTAGACACAAAGTACTTTACAAACAGGACATTACAGAGATATGACTTATCATACCGAGTCATACAGATTTACGACTTTACAGACGTACTAGACAGAACGTATTTTTACTGAACTAGGACTTAACAAACTAGACCTTACAAATCTATGACTTTACTGACAAAATGCCTTACAAATCTATGACTTTACTGACCAAATGCCATACAGATTTAGGATATTACAGACCTCTGGGCATTATACGCTTAGCACTTTACGAACCTAGGGCTAGCTAGAGCTAAGAATCTACTGAGCCTGATCGCTTCAGATCTAGCACATTACAGAACATAGTTTCTTCCACGCATCGCTTCTACCGCCCCCCCCCCCTCCCCACCCCCCCCCCCCCCCCCCGAACGAAATGGAAATTATATAGCAAATATATACTTTTAACAGTGTCCGCCCCCCCCCCCCTTCCGAAAATTTTAATCCGCCCCCGAAAATTTCAAGTGCCCACATCCCCCCCCCCCCCCCTCCCGGAGAAAAAAGTCTGGAAGAAATACTGGTAGACAATTAAATGGCTACAAACTAATACGAAAACAATTCTACCTATAATGTGTTTGCCTTAGCCTGCACACGCTGTCCAATACTTGCTGAGTTACTCAGCCTTAAAGGGTACCTGGCATAATATTTTTAACGAAAGTAAACGTACCCGGATAAATCCTCCGGGCATCGCCTCCATATGATACCACAAACTCTTGCACTCTTATCGCCGTGAACATTCGCGTCATACTATATATATACTTAACGTTTGTGAAGCGTCGTCACAACCGAGAAGAAAATAACAATAGGGCTTGTAAGTAGGTCATGACTTCTCGTTCTCGTACTTGCCAGCTAGTAGATTTCGAGACCGTAGATTTACAAGCCCTATTACCATCATGACTTATGTTAGTATTGAATGGTTAATGTTATTCTTAAGTTGAAAACTCATTGATACGAGTTGTAAAAGAACTTATATTTTGGGCAGGCAAGAAAAAAGTCAGGTCTTCAAGAAACCCGGACGATTGGGACGGTAAGATTATTGATCCTTTATTAAAATTGATTAGAGTTATAATTAGTTGACAAGCCACTTAACTGCCAACTTTAATAAGCAAGAAATATTACTTTGGATTAAGACAACGATGGAGTATAATAGCTATTAAATGCATTTCTAAAGGTCGAAGTTATTAGCTGGATTACGAATTAGTTTTAGCTTTAGCGCAAAATGAGATAGTTTTGTTGTGTACAAAGAATATTTATTCTTATTTTTACGATTACTTCTTCGACTTTTTAATTTTATTTTACAATTGTTTCAATGGATTTATAGTAATATAACTTAGCTATTTATTTTGAAACGTGTAGACTTCGAAATTAGTATTTATCTTTTTTATAAATATGTCGGCCTGGTTCGATTATTACTGGCTTTGTGTCCTTTATTTAAAATGCCATTGATGGAAAGGACCAGTTGTTACTACTAGAGCACAGACAATGACTATGACCGAATTCAAAGAAAAATTCAATTTAAAATCAGATACGTTTAATAAATTTGTGTAAAACAAAAATTGTAAAAAAAAAGTTGATATTATTCTGATCTGAACACTTTTCGGACTCTCCCATTCGATGTATAGTACTACTAAGCATGATTTTTTTTTGCCCACAAATTAATTGCATTTAATATAGAGTTAAATAATGCTAAAACTGGATAAAAAAATAAGCGTGTTGGATCTGGCCTAAAATTTAATAACAAGGAAAGGCGAGGTTGACTGGTAGAGCTTACGACTGCAAACTCACGCGTCTCGAGTTCGAACCCCAAGTCTCTAGGATGCCTCTGAGTACACCCAGCTATATTGGGTACCTGGCACGGTAGAGAAACCAAAGCAGCTGGGCAGAGTACTGGCCAAACTACCCCATACTATGTCGAAGTACTTGAAACAGGTGAACTCTACTTCATCTGCCCCATATGTATGTCTGGGACAGGAATTGGAAAGGATGATGATTAATGTCTATATTTTGAATCATAACCCCATCAACAGCCATAAAAAAAAGTGTAATGACGAGTGTAATTGATGTAGATTTTTTACTAAATGTTTGAATGTTTTACAGAGGACGATGTACGAGAATTCTGTGAGTACATTTATGTATCTATGATAAGACAATCAGATAAGAGATACCTAGTTTGTCAAATGTAATATAAATTAATCTCAATTATTTTTTCTTTTGATTATAAATTTCCAACAAAAAAAAAATCAAAAATTTTCTTTTCGCTATTTTTTTTTAAAGTTTAAATAGTTTATAAATGAATTCACGATTTTTTGATGCTTTATATCCCCCCCACCTGCTTATTTTTACATTTTACCAAAAAAGTCAGGCACTTACCTACATTAAGTACAAACGTTGATCGTGCATGCAACCGAGTTAGACAGAAAATCATTAGTTTGTCAGCTAGAGACGGATTGAATATATATAATTAATTAGACACACACTCGCACCTATATATATATATATATATATATATATATATATATATATATATATATATATATATATATATATATATATATATATATATATATATAAATATATATATAGGCTACACAATGTACCCACACCACCATTTGATTGTATCTAAACGTACCCCACCCCCCCCCACCCCCACCTATTTAAAATTAATGCACCATATCACTGACCAACTTGTATTTCAATATATTTCACCATCCATTAGTCTAATAGCGCTGTACCTCCACACATCTAACTAGACCACCACCCTATCTACCCCCACGGTCCTCCCCCCTACCCCCCACCTGTATAAATAGGGCTGGTAAGTTGGTCGCCAACTAGTTATATGGCTAAGGCAGGTTTTATTAAGCTGTGGAATTGGTTGGTGACCTACTTACCAGCCCTATCGTCTCCAAAATCCTACCCACAGCATGGTATTTGTACTACCACACGGTGCTATAAAACACATGTACTCCATACAGGGAAATCGCGAGACAAGAAAGTTCAAAGCAGCGACATCGATGTCAATCCTGCGCTCAGTGAGTAGAGTTAGTCTTACTGTACTAGCTGATTTCGCCCGTGGAAGAAAATAATTGCAACGGGCGCTTGGTTGATATTGTTTTGTATTTTATATTCAACCCAGCGGTGATCATATATATATATATATATATATATATATATATATATATATATATATATATATATAAATCTGTTAAATTATCCTTAGGAGTTTTGTATTTTTAAATGTTGTTTGTATAATTCTACATTATTGAAGTCGTTTATATATCATTGTATCTTATATTGATCTAGCTAAGAAGCACGTGTTTATGTTAGTTTTGGGCTTCCGTTTGAAGATAGTTTTAATTCACCTATTGTGAAAGGTTAAGCAAACATAAAGGCGCACCTTCAGAAGTCCTGTTACAGCCTAAGATATTTTATTAAAGAAAAATATCCTTCTATAATCCGATGAAAGTTTTTAGAACAAACACTAAAACCTAAACAAATTACTAATTAAAATAAACGGGAAGATGATACTTAGCTCTAGCCTAAATAAAATTTAAAAATAAACTTACATTTTAAAAACTCATGGCCAATGTATTAGCCTGCTTGTGAATCTGTAACAACCAAACATTTTTGTTTCACAAAAACTCGTCAGGGTGAACTAACCATCGAAAGTTTGGGTTTTTACATAAGAACATGTGAACGGTGTTTAATGGGGGCACAGTGATGGGACATTTTGTCAGGGATATTTTGCCTGGGATAATATGTCTGGGATATTTTGTCTGGGATAATTTGTCTGGGATATTTTGTCTAAGATATTTTGCCTGGGATATTTTGTCAGGGATATTTTGTCTGGGATATTTTGTCTGAGATATTTTGTCTGGGATATTTTGTCTGGGATATTTTGTCTAAGATCTTTTGTCTGGGATCATTTGTCTTGGATATTTTGTCTAGGATAATTTGTCTGAGATATTTTGTCTGAGATATTTTCTCTGAGATATTTTGTCTGGGATATTTTCTCTGAGATATTTTGTCTGGGATACTTTGTCTGGGATATTTTGTCTGAGATATTTTGTCTGGGATATTTTGTCTGGGATACTTTGTCTGGGATATTTTGTCTGAGATATTTTGTTTGGGATATTTTGTCTGAGATAATTTATCTGGGACATTTTGTCTGAGATAATTTATCTGGGACATTTTCTCTGAGATATGTCCCATGAGATATTAATGTCCATCGGATATTTTCTCCTATAAGAGTTAAGCCAAAAGCTTTTAGTTACGTCCTTACTCTGATGAAAATAATCAGCCTGGAATCACGACTTTCGTCTCCTCAGTGTTGGCCCGTGAGAAGTTCAACAGAAAAAAAGGCAAACAGAGAGGAAGTACCCTGAGTATCGAAGGCTCCGATCCTCGTGAGTACTAGTACAGAAATTTGCGAGAGGAATGAAAGAGTCGTGTGTTGATACCAGTGGTGTAGACTGGGTGGACGTTGGGGGATTAGAACAGCCACCCCACCCCCGCACACTGTCAATCCCTCACACACACACACAATGATAGCTACCTCAGTTTGCTGTTTAGCACCACCCTCATATTTTAGGTTAGGTTTGCCTGTCGCCCCTCCTGGGACATAGACCGCTGACAAGAGCTTTCCAGATCTTATAGTCTAAATAATATACAATTTTTACCAATACATACATACATATATATATATATATATATATATATATATATATATATATATATATATATATATATATATATATTAAATTAATTTGAAAATTCTCCAACATAATTAAAGTCCCCACCAGCCATTGATTCCTCATAGCAAACACAACTGTATATAACTTTTTTACCTGAGTTAAAAAAAAAATTATTTAATTTATTGTGTCCCCCCCCCCCCCTCGCTCCACCGCACCTTTAAATATGTCTAAAAGCAACACCGTTTCTATGACGTCATTGTCGTTTAGACGCAGCTCCCATCTTGAAAGATCTGCTGGAAGTCTCCGAAAGTAAGCCGTCCAGGGTGGGGAGTCCAGTCGTTATACCACGTTCAGAGGCTGACGGTAAAGGTAAGACATTTCTTACAGTTCAGGTTCAATGGCCTGGGCATGCAGCATTTCGTGTCCGTCGATAGTTGACTACCCTACCATAGCGATGCACTACCCTACCATAGAGAATGCACTACCTTACCACAGTGATGCACTACCCAACCATAGAGATGCAATACCCTACCATAGAGATGCACTACCCTACCATAGAGAATGCACTACACTACCATAGAGATGCACTACCCTACCATAGAGATGCACTACCTACCATAGAGATGCACTACCCTACCATAGAGATGCACTACCCTACCATAGAGATGCACTACCTTATCATAGAGAATGCACTACCCTACCATAGAGATGCAATACCCTACCATAGAGAATGCACTACCCTACCATAGAGATGCACTACCCTACCATAGAGATGCACTACCTTACCATAGAGAATGCACTACCCTACCATAGAGATGCACTACCCTACCATAGAGGATGCACTACCCTACCATAGTGATGCACTACCCTACCATAGAGATGCACTACCCTACCATAGAGGATGCACTACCCTACCATAGTGATGCACTACCCTACCATAGAGATGCACTACCCTACCATAGAGATGCACTACCCTACCATAGAGATGCACTACCCTACCATAGAGGATGCACTACCCTACCATAGTGATGCACTACCCTACCATAGATGCACTACCCTACCATAGAGATGCACTACCCTACCATAGAGATGCATTACCCTACCATAGAGATGCACTACCCTACCATAGAGATGCACTACCTTACCATAGAGAATGCACTACCCTACCATAGAGATGCACTACCCTACCATAGAGATGCACTACCCTACCATAGAGATGCACTACCCTACCATAGAGATGCACTACCTTACCATAGAAATGCACTACCTACCATAGAGATGCACTACCCTACCATAGAGATGCACTACCCTACCATAGAGAATGCACTACCCTACCATAGAGTTGCACTACCCTACCTTAGTGATGCATTACCCTACCATAGAGATGCACTACCCTACCATAGAGATGCACTACCTTACCATAGAGAATGCACTACCCTACCATAGAGATGCACTACCCTACCATAGATATGCACTACCCTACCATAGAGATGCACTACCCTACCATCCAACCCATCCTCAAGGGTACACCTTGTGCACTGCCCGCCCACGATACACTATATGTACACTCTCCCCCCCCCTATGGTACACTACACGTTCACTGCCCGCCCCCCCCTATGGTACACTACACGTTCACTGCCCGCCCCCCCCCCTATGGTACACTACACGTTTACTTCCCACCCCTCCCCAACACACACGGTACACTAACGTTTACTGCCCTCTCCCCTCCTTAACCCACACGGTATACAGCACTACCCCCCTCCTATGGTACATTTACATTTACTGACCCCCTCCCCAACACACACGGTACACTAACGTTTACTGCCCCCCCTCCCCAACCCACGCGGAATACTAACGTTTATTGCCCCCCCCCCCCCGCTCATGGTAGACTACACATTCACTGCCCCCCCCCCTCCCCCAACCCACATGGTACACTACATGTCGCAACGTAAAATCTATCCTCGAAGCAAAAACATCATAAAACAAAACGTGTCACTTCGAAAACTTAAACGACAAAAAATAACAGTCAACAAAAGTGATAGAATTAACCGCCACTGTTTTGTTGTGTTTACTTCAGGCGTTGGATCGAGTGGATCTTCTACTGCCAGTGGCGCTTCTATCGGCGGGAAGAGAGACAAGAAAGATAGAAAAGGTAACATTGATACCGATAAGTTAGTGTTCATTGGTCTGTAAAAGGTCAATGCTGATTGGTCGGTTTGGGTGATAGTCGAGTGGTCCGTTAAGAAAAAATTTGATTTGTCGATTGAAGTGAGCGAAGGGTGGTCAGGAAAAGGTAAATGTTGATAAAAAAAAACTGAAGTGTTATGTTTGAGGAACAGTTGTGAAAAAATTATTTTAAAAACTTATTTTTAAGGTAGTAGTTAGTTTTCTAAAGTTAATGGTTAAAATTGTATTTAAGGTAGTAGTTAGTTTTCTAAAGTAATTCGTTCGTTCAGTATCTGGCGCCATTTAAATCAAGGAAATCGACTTAATTAGCCTAATGATATGCAGAGGCGTAGCGACCCTTCCCGGAGACCGTGGACAAGCTTTTGATTTGCACCCCCCCCCCCCTTCAGGATCTCGATTTGCACCCCCTCCCCCCTCCTCAAACTTTCGACATAAAATATAATTTATATATTTATTTGTATGTTTATTCGGAAGTTTAAAAAAAACAACATCTATTCCGTTAGCCTATTACCTCTAATTTAAAAAAAAAATGTATATTCTCACGCAGAGGCGTAGGGAGGGGGGGGGGGTGCGGACCGCTGCGGGTGACACCATTTAGAGGGGTTGACACCAAGGCAAAAAATAGCAAAATATATAGAGAAAAACTTGAGGGGGGGGGGGTACAAATCAAAAGTTCGAGGGTGGGGGTGGAAATTGAAAATTTGAAAGTTTGTCCCCGAAAAGGGTCGCTACGCATCTGGGGGGGGGGGGGGTGACACCATTAAGTGCCGCACCGTGTGACACCCGACTTTACTACGCCACTGTTCTCACGTTAATGAATACTTAATTTATCTTTAGGTTCAGGGAGTGTGGAAACAAAGTCCAAAGGAAGTAAATCCAAAGGAAGTAAGTATTAGGTAGAAATGCTACGGTGTTTCATTCATTGTGCTGTAAATGCTTTATGTGTTAAATGCTGTGCTGTGAAAGGCGACTTTGTTGTATACTGTAAATTTGCCTTTTCGGAGAGTTGTTAAATGTTAACGTACTTTTTGTATCCTTTCGTACGTGACGGTGTCCGTGGGACAGGTGAAGTAGAGTCCACCTGTATTACTGACCTCGGCTTATGAAGGGATAATGTCATCAGTACTATGCCCAGCCGCATTTGCTTTCCCTAACGTGAGGTTTCAAAGCTGGATGGGCTTATGGGCGTTCTGCATAGAGGAATCAGGGATTAGAACTCGAGACTTACGGGTTAACAGTCTTATGCTCTACCATCCTACCACGATGTCTGATATATATATATATATATATATATATATATATATATATATATATATATATATATATATATATATATATATATATATGTGTGTGTGTGTGTGTGTGTGTCTGTCTGTCTGTCTGTCTGTGTCTGTGTGTGTGTGTACATTTATGAAAAGCCTAACTTGGTATGCATTACATATAAATCTGATTTCCATTATGGTTTTCTATCTTTGCAGAAAAAAAAAAGCAGCAAGATGGTAAGAATAAATATAAATACATAATCACAAATACATCTTATGAAACCTCTACTCTCCCTATATACATACAAATATGTATTTATTTGTATATATACAATACATGTAAAATCGTACATAAACCCAGTGTTATTTACCCTATCAAACTTATAAAACTTTCACTGTTTTTTTTTTTATCTTACTGAAAAATAGACTAAAATTCGTTTAAACAATTTATGAAGAATTTACAACAAAAGTGAATTAGCATTTAATGTTGTTGTTTTTCTTAAGGGGATAAGGATATCGACACATCACATGCTGATGGTGCTCCAAAAGGTAAGTAACAGGTAGTCTTGGTGTCACAGTTAAGTAACAAGTAAAGCTCCCTTTTCGGACCAGATGTTCCATGGGGCAAGTGAAGTAGAGTTCACCTGTTTCTTAGTACTCGGCTTATAAAGGGAATGTGTGGTCAGCACTATGCCCAGACGCCTTTACTGTCCCTAACGTGGGCTAGGTACGCATCAGAGCTGGATAGACACAGGGACGTTTTACTGACTTCTTCTTCTTCTTCGTTCTTAATTTTTAGTGTTGGGAGGGATCGAGCCTTATCTGCCAGAGGGTTTGAACTCGAGACTTTTTTTTTCGAATTTATCAACCATGAGCTTTGCCGACTCGACCATGCTTCCATCACAATTAGGATTACGTGTTAACTGGTTATGCGCTATTAAGGCCATTGACTCCGATTTCAGCCTGCTTTTCTTTTTGAATTTGCTTCCATGGCCTTTGTCCAACCAAGAACAAACTACAAGGCAGCAGTTGTTTGATTTTGGAGTTGTCTCTCCTAGAAGAGTGGCTGTCCCCAGCTGGCGAGGCTCGGATTCGTACTCGAGGCTTTCGGTGTGACTAGTCTAGCGCTCTACCATTAGGCCTCTTCGTTCCCTAGTATTACACTTAGCGTTGGTTTATATCTTTAAATAAATATTCGCTCACCCAAAAGCATACATTTATATTTTAACTAAAAATTATTATTTCTTTGTAATTTTTGTATAGTAATTAATACACGAAAATTCAAATATATTTTTTTTAATTTATTTCATTTTGTTTCATTTAATTTAACACAATTAATTCTATTTCATGTATAATTGTCCATGAATGTTTTCATAAAGCGTCGAAAAGCAAGCAAGGTGTGAGCAGACTTGCTGGCCAATTGAAGCCACCCGGAAATGAAACTGACCAGCTAAGAATGCAGCTTAGCTGGCAAGTCTTGTCGTTTCGGGCTACCAAGGGCACCGGCACGGCAAAAGCTAAAACCATCGTCAAGTTGGATGATCTATGTCAATCTACCATTAAGAAACTAGAGGAGAAGAATGCGGACTTGGGCAAAGGTATAATGTTCGCAATACAATAATATGTAACTAGTATATATATACTTATATAGTATAGATAGTATACTAGTATACATTTATATATACATGGATATGAATATATATATATATATATATATATATATATATATATATATATATATATATATATATATATATATATATATATATATATATATTAGACATTTAGCTGTTGACAGTAAATGTAATGGGCTTTCTGTTGTTGGTAATTGGTTTTTTTTTCATCTAACCTAAACGAAAGCACAAATATATATATATATATATATATATATATATATATATATATATATATATATATATATATATATATATATATATATATATATATATATATAAATATATATATATATATATATAAATATATATATATATATATATAAATATATATATATATATATAAATATATATATATATATATATATATATATATATATATATATATATATATATATATATATAATATATATATATATATATATGTGTGTGTGTGTTTTATATATATATATATATATATATATATATATATATATATATATATATATATATATATATATAGATGATCGTGTTCTAGTTACTTTAGTTAACGGTCCCTTTCTACACAAACTTATTTTTCAGTGGCACAGTGGTATACTCGAAGATGGGATGAAATGGGCGCGGCAGAGGTTAGTTCGCTAACTAGATATATTTAGCTAACTATATCCACTCTATATATTTTTTTTTCGATTTTAATTTACTAAAAAAAATTTTTTCTAGCTTTACACGTAATTAGTTTTGTCAATAAATTTACTTGATTTGCATCATCTCTAACCCACACAATCTACATCATCTCTAACCCAATCTACATCATCTCTAACACCCAATCTACATCATCTCTAACCCACCCAATCTACATCATCCCTAACCCACACAATCTACATCATCCCTAACCCACCCAATCTACATCATCTCTAACCCACCCAATCTACATCATCTCTAACCCAATCTACATCATCTCTAACCCACCCAATCTACATCATCTCTAACCCACCCAATCTACATCATCTCTAACCAACCCAATCTACATCATCTCTAACCCACCCAATCTACATCATCTCTAACCCACCCAATCTACATCATCTCTAACCCACCCAATCTACATCATCTCCAATCTACATCATCTCTAACACCCAATCTACATTTCATCCTTTACCCAATCTACATCCATCTCCTAACCCCACCCAATCTACATCATCTCTACCCACCCAATCTACATCATCTCTAACCTCCCAATCTACATCATCCTCTAACCACCCGAATCTACATCATCTCTAACCCACCCAATCTACATCATCTCTAACACCCAATCTACATCATCTCTAACCCACCCAATCTCATCATCTCTAACCCCAATCTACATCATCTCTAACCCCACCCAATCTACATCATCTCTAACCCACCCATCTACATCATCTCTAACCCACCCAATCTACATCATCTCTAACCCACCCAATCTACATCATCTCTAACCCCCCAATCTACATCATCTCTAACCCACCCAATCTCCATCATCTCTAACCCCATCTACATCATCTCTAACCCAATCTACATCATCTCTAACCCACCCAATCTACATCATCTCTAACCAACCCAATCTACATCATCTCTAACCCAATCTACATCATCTCTAACCCACTCAATCTACATCATCCTCTAACTCACCCAATCTACATCATCTCTAACCCACCCAATCTACATCATCTCTAACCCAATCTACATCATCTCTAACCCACCCAATCTACATCATCTCTAACCTCACCCAATCTACATCATCTCTAACCCACCCAATCTACATCATCTCTAACCCAATCTACATCATCTCTAACTCACCCAATCTACATCATCTCTAACCCACCCAATCTACTTCATCTCTAACCCAATCTAATCATCTCTAACCCACCCAATCTACATCATCTCCAACCACCCAATCTACATCATCTCTAACCCAATCTACATCATCTCTAACCCAATCTACATCATCTCTAACCCCAATCTACATCATCTCTAACCCACCCAATCTACATTATCTCTAACCCAATCTACATCATCTCTAACCCAATCTACATCATCTCTAACCAACCCAATCTACATCATCTCTAACCCAATCTACATCATCTCTAACCCAATCTACATCATCTCTAACCCACCCAATCTACATCATCTCTAACCCAATCTACATCATCTCTAACCCAATCCACATCATCTCTAACCCACTCAATCTACATTATCTCTAACCCAATCTACATCATCTCTAACCCAATCTACATCATCTCTAACCCAACCTACATCATCTCTAACCCACTCAATCTACATTATCTCTAACCCAATCTACATCATCTCTAACCCAATCTACATCATCTCTAACCCACCCAATCTACATCATCTCTAACCCCAATCTACATCATCTCTAACCCACCCAATCTACATCATCTCTAACCAACCCAATCTACATCATCTCTAACCCAATCTACATCATCTCTAACCCAATCTACATCATCTCTAACTCACCCAATCTACATCATCTCTAACCCACCCAATCTACATCATCTCTAACCCAATCTACATCATCTCTAACCCACCCAATCTACATCATCTCTAACCCACCCAATCTACATCATCTCTAACCCACCCAATCTACATCATCTCTAACACCCAATCTACATCATCTCTAACCCACCCAATCTACATCATCTCTAATCCACCCAAACTATACATCATCTCTAACCCACCCAATCTACATCATCTCTAACCCACCCAATCTACATCATCTCTAACACCCAATCTACATCATCTCTAACCCACCCAATCTACATCATCTCTAACACCCATCTACATCATCTCTAACCCCCAATCTACATCATCTCTAACCCAATCTACATCATCTCTAACCCACCCAATCTACATCATCTCTAACCCACCCAATCTACATCATCTCTAACCCACCCAATCCACATCATCTCTAACCCACCCAATCTACTTCATCTCTAACCCAATCTACATCATCTCCAACCCACCCAATCTACATCATCTCTAACCCACCCAATCTACATCATCTCTAACCCAATCTACATCATCTCTAACCCAATCTACATCATCTCTAACCCAATCTACATCATCTCTAACCCACTCAATCTACATCATCTCTAACCCAATCTACATCAACTCTAACCCAATCATCATCATCTCTAACCCACTCAATCTACATTATCTCTAACCCAATCTACATCATCTCTAACCCAATCTACATCATCTCTAACCCAATCTACATCATCTCTAACCCACTCAATCTACATCATCTCTAACCCACCCAATCTACATCATCTCTAACCCACCCAATCTACATCAACTCTAACCCAATCATCATCATCTTTAACCCAATCTACATCATCTCTAACCCAATCTACATCATCTCTAACCCACCCAATCTACATCATCTCTAACCCAATCTACATTATCTCTAACCCACCCAATCTACATCATCTCTAACCAACCCAATCTACATCATCTCTAACCCAATCTACATCATCTCTAACCCACTCAATCTACATCATCTCTAACTCACCCAATCTACATCATCTCTAATCCAATCTACATCATCTCTAACCCAATCTACATCATCTCTAACCCACCCAATCTACATCATCTCTAACCCACCCAATCTACATCATCTCTAACCCAATCTACATCATCTCTAACCCACCCAATCTACATCAACTCTAACCCACCCAATCTACATCATCTCTAACCCACCCAATCTACATCATCTCTAACACCCAATCTACATTATCTCTAACCCACCCAATCTACATCATCTCTAACCCACCCAATCTACATCATCTCTAACCCACCCAATCTACATCATCTCTAACCCAATCTACATCATCTCTAACCCAATCTACATCATCTCTAACCCACCCAATCTACATCATCTCTAACCCACCCAATCTACATTATCTCTAACCCAATCTATATCATCTCTAACCCACCCAATCTACATCATCTCTAACCCACCCAATCTACATCATCTCTAACCCACCCAATCTACATCATCTCTAACCCAATCTATATCATCTCTAACCCACCAATCTACATCATCTCTAACCCAATCTACATCATCTCTAACCCAATCTACATCATCTCTAACTCACCCAATCTACATCATTTCTAACCCACCCAATCTACATCATCTCTCACCAACCCAATCTACATCATCTCTAACCCACCCAATCTACATCATCTCTAACCCACCCAATCTACATAATCTCTAACTCACCCAATCTACATCATCTCTAACCCACCCAATCTACATCATTTCTAACCCACCCAATCTACATCATCTCTAACCCACCCAATCTACATCATCTCTAACCCACCCAATCTACATCATCTCTAACCCAATCTACATCATCTCTAACCCACCCAATCTACATCATCTCTAACCCACTCAACCTACATCATCTCTAACTCACCCAATCTACATCATCTCTAACCCACCCAATCTACATCATCTTTAACTCACCCAATCTACATCATCTCTAACCCACCCAATCTACATCATCTCTAACCCAATCTACATCATCTCTAACCCAATCTATATCATCTCTAACCCACTCAATCTACATCATCTCTAACCCACCCAATCTACATCATCTCTAACCCACCCAATCTACATCATCTCTAACCCACCCAATCTACATCATCTCTAACCCACTCAATCTACATCATCTCTAACCCAATCTACATCATCTCTAACCCACCCAATCTACATCATCTCTAACCCAATCTACATAATCTCTAACCCATTTCTATAAACAACTAGATCTATTTTTTTAACCGTTGCCTTCTGTGTATCCCCCATAGACTGATATACCTCAGGGTGAACGGAAACTCGATCCTGAATCGGAACACGTAAGTTGCCATCATGAATGTATTTAGAACAGTGGTTCTTAACCTTTATTTTTTTGGAGCTACCGAACCCCACCAGTTTCGCATGCGCATTCACCTAACCCTTCGAAATAGTTCTATCGGCCGAAATGACAAAATGCAATCGTGAATTATAGACAAGTGTGAGTATAGACCTCCGGCAAACCCCTGAGATTAACTCACTGAACCGATGGGATTTAATAGAAACTAGGTTCAGAACCACTGATTTAGAACATGTTTAAGTTGAGTACTAAAGAAAACGATGCACAAAATAATCAAAGCGTGCTAAATCGGATGTAGCGAGTATCGGCTACTAGAACAGCGGTCTGTCTCAGAAGTTGTACCTAGTTCTTTCTCTAACCTCAAACAGAACCCACATAAATAACTCTATCAACAATACCGGTGATGTTCAATATCAGCGTTTCTTTCAGATATTTTTCTTCACGAGGGAGGCGGCAAATGTTAAAGTATATATTTTCTAAATATCTATATATATAATTCTCTTCTTTGAGCCGTTAGAAAACAAGCTGCAAGCGCGCCTTTGCAGTCCCCTCTCTTCCTCTCTATCGCTACCTCCCCACCCCACCCCCACATTGTCTGGTGAGCTGTGTTCACTCTGTTTACATTTTACAATCATAGAGACGGGTTTGGTGACGGCTATTAGGGGCAGATAATTTAGTTTGAAACGATTTTAAACTTAGAGTATGTAACCAAGAGGAGGCTGCTTTCATGTGGGGGGATGGGGGGTTTAGTGTTTTTAAGCAAATATTTTCAGTGGCAGCATTGGTACTGTCGAATTCACAAATTATAAATTACTGAAAAGTAGAAAAAAAAACAACTAAATAGCGGCGTATGATACGCAGCGGGTCGGCTCGTATTCTATATTCGTGTTCTTTCGTCAGGGGAAGTTGTCGTGCTCAGAAGAGGATAGTGCCCTTCTCCCCCTGCTAAGAAGAAATACCTGAAAGAAACTCTGGTCAATACATGTTGAGGAATTCTTAGTCTATCTACTTTGTAAAACCGTTGGGTTTCAGTAGTGGGACAACGAACATGTTTTTTTAAACCATTCTCATCCAGTGATCTCATGCAGACATTACCTCTTTCGTAGCATTCAGAAACTAGCCATTTTCCGATACCATAGAGGTTACCCATATATCTAAACTATTCACAAGCGACCAGCATGGCAATAGCCAATAGGGTGACACCATTTAAGGGGGATGACACCAAGGCAAAAAAATAGCAAAATAAATAGAGAAAAACTTGAGGGGGTGGTGCAAATCGAAAATTTGTCCCCGGGAAGGGTCGCTACGCCTCTGGGGGGGGGGGGGGGCGACACCAATAAGTGCCGCACCGGGTGACACCCGACCTCCCTACGCCACTGCATGTAGCTATACCATTTAGAAGCGATAGTAAACGCTTTTTTTTTTAAATTACCACTATAGCAAAGACAAAAATTGATTTACATAAATTAAATAGAATCTTTGTAAACTCCACTTATTTACTTTGTTCGGGGTTCGAGGGTTTTAATACCCAAAGAGGCAAACACTAGCCTACACTGATTGATTTTTCATTGTTGTGTGTACAGAAGGCTATCTTAGAAAGCCGCGAGTTACTTACAGAACGCAGCGTATGTATATGATCACTCACATAGCAGATACATACCTTCACATACCCATTAGCTCAGTCACGCATACGAGCATATACACACATCAAATCGCACACATAAGCGCAACCACACACACACACACATACAAGAACACACATCAACACTGGGAACAAGGTATTACCCCCCCCCCCCACCCGTTAATTACCCCCGGACATCCCCCCCCCGACATTATATTCCGGAGTACTTACCCTCCCCTTGCCAATTACCCCCCCCCCCCCCCCTGTCAATTACCCCCGCCCCCCACCCAGTAGGACATTACTCCCCCCCCCCCCCCGACAGAGTAAGAGTTAGAATTACGTTTAGGTTTAGGTTTAGGTTAAGGTTTAGGTTTAGGTTTAGGTTTAGGTTTAGGTTTAGGTTTGGGTTTGGGTTTGGGTTTAGGTTTGGGTTTGGGTTTGGGTTTGGGTTTGGGTTTGGGTTTGGGTTTGGGTTTGGGTTTAGGTTTAGGTTTAGGTTTAGGTTTAGGTTTAGGCTGAGGTTGGAGGCTAGGTTTTATTTTAGGTTTAGGTTTAGGTTTAGGTTTAGGTTTAGGTTTAGGTTTAGGTTTAGGTTTAGGTTTAGGTTTAGGTTTAGGTTTAGGTTTAGGTTTAGGTTTAGGTTTAGGTTTAGGTTTAGGTTTAGGTTTAGGTTTAGGTTTAGGTTTAGGTTTAGGTTTAGGTTTAGGTTTAGGTTTAGGTTTAGGTTTAGGTTTAGGTTTAGGTTTAGGTTTAGGTTTAGGTTTAGGTTTAGGTTTTATGTTTAGGTTTAGGTTTAGGTTTAGGCTGAGGTTGGAGGCTAGGTTTTGTTTTAGGTTTAGGTTTAGGTTTAGGTTTAGGTTTAGGTTTAGGTTTAGGTTTAGGTTTAGGTTTAGGTTTAGGTTTAGGTTTAGGTTTAGGTTTAGGTTTAGGTTTAGGTTTAGGTTTAGGTTTAGGTTTAGGTTTAGGTTTAGGTTTAGGTTTAGGTTTAGGTTTAGGTTTAGGTTTAGGTTTAGGTTTAGGTTTAGGTTTAGGTTTAGGTTTAGGTTTAGGTTCAGGTTTAGGTTCAGGTTCAGGTTCAGGTTCAGGTTCAGGTTCAGGTTCAGGTTTAGGTTTAGGTTTAGGTTTAGGTTTAGGTTTAGGTTTAGGTTTAGGTTAAGGCTGAGGTTGGAGGCTAGGTTTTGTTCTTTTTACTTAAGGTTAGGATTAAGGTAATATATAGGTATAGAAATCTAGTTAGAGTTAGAATTCCAACTTGAGAGGGGGGGGGGGGCGGGATATTACCGGGGGGGGGGGGGGGTAGGAGACTGGGAGGTAATTTACAGGGTGGTATTTTCTCCGGTGTATTGGCGGGTGGTGGGGGGAAATGTCCGGGGGGGTAGTTTCCGAGGGGGAGTGGGTAATGTCCTGTAGCCATCAACACTAACCCATCTAACCAACAAACGCTAATCTAACAACCAATACATCTTTACTTATCACAGAGCCCGACCCCCTACGAAAGGACCATGACAGCAAAACACGCAGCTAGAGAAGGCTTAGACTCTTTAGAAGTAAGTACTATGTTGTCTCTATGTCCACAAGTAGTATTTTGTCTCTAGGTCCACAAGTAGTATTTTGTCTCTAGGTCCACAAGTAGTATTTTGTCTCTAGGTTCACAAGTGGTATTTTGTCTCTAGGTCCACAAGTAGTATTTTGTCTCTAGGTCCACAAGTAGTATTTTGTCTCTAGGTCCACAAGTAGTATTTTGTCTCTAGGTCCACAAGTAGTATTTTGTCTCTAGGTCCACAAGTAGTATTTTGTCTCTAGGTCCACAAGTAGTATTTTGTCTCTAGGTTCACAAGTAGTATTTTGTCTCTAGGTCCACAAGTAGTATTTTGTCTCTAGGTCCACAAGTCGTATTTTGTCTCTAGGTCCACAAGTCGTATTTTGTCTGTAAGTCCAAAAGTCGTATTTTGTCTCTAGGTCCACAAGTCGTATTTTGTCTGTAGGTCCACAAGTAGTATTTTGTCTCTAGGTCCACAAGTCGTATTTTGTTTTTAGGTCCACATGTAGTATTTTGTCTCTAGGTCTACAAGTAGTATTTTGTCTCTAGGTCCACAAGTAGTATTTTGTCTCTAGGTCCACAAGTCGTATTTTGTCTCTAGGTCCACAAGTAGTATTTTGTCTCTAGGTCTACAAGTCGTATTTTGTCTCTAGGTCCACAAGTAGTATTTTGTCTCTAGGTTCACAAGTAGTATTTTGTCTCTAGGTCCACAAGTAGTATTTTGTCTCTAGGTCCACAAGTCGTATTTTGTCTCTAGGTCCACAAGTAGTATTTTGTCTCTAGGTCCACAAGTCGTATTTTGTTTTTAGGTCCACATGTAGTATTTTGTCTCTAGGTCTACAAGTAGTATTTTGTCTCTAGGTCCACAAGTAGTATTTTGTCTCTAGGTCCACAAGTCGTATTTTGTCTCTAGGTCCACAAGTAGTATTTTGTCTCTAGGTCTACAAGTCGTATTTTGTCTCTAGGTCCACATGTAGTGTTTTGTCTGAAGGTCCACAAGTAGTATTTTGTCTCTAGGTCCACAAGTCGTATTTTGTCTGTAAGTCCAAAAGTCGTATTTTGTCTCTAGGTCCACAAGTCGTATTTTGTCTGTAGGTCCACAAGTAGTATTTTGTCTCTAGGTCCACAAGTCGTATTTTGTTTTTAGGTCCACATGTAGTATTTTGTCTGTAGGTCCACAAGTAGTATTTTGTTTCTAGGTCCACAAGTCGTATTTTGTTTTTAGGTCCACATGTAGTATTTTGTCTGTAGGTCCACACGTAGTATTTTGTCTCTAGGTCCACAAGTCGTATTTTGTTTTTAGGTCCACATTTAGTATTTTGTCTGTAGGTCCACAAGTAGTATTTTGTCTCTAGGTCCACAAGTCGTATTTTGTCTCTAGGTCCACAAGTCGTATTTTGTTTTTAGGTCCACAAGTAGTATTTTGTCTCTAGGTCCACAAGTAGTATTTTGTCTCTAGGTCCACAAGTCGTATTTTGCCTCTAGGTCCACAAGTCGTATTTTGTCTCTAGGTCCACAAGTGGTATTTTGTCTCTAGGTCCACAAGTAGTATTTTGTCTCTAGGTCCACAAGTAGTATTTTGTCTGTAGGTCCACAAGTAGTATTTTGTCTCTAGGTCCACAAGTAGTATTTTGTCTCTAGGTCCACAAGTAGTATTTTGTCTGTAGGTCCACAAGTAGTATTTTGTCTCTAGGTTCACAAGTAGTATTTTGTCTCTAGGTCCACAAGTAGTATTTTGTCTCTAGGTCCACAAGTAGTATTTTGTCTCTTGGTCCACAAGTAGTATTTTGTCTCTAGGTCCACAAGTAGTATTTTGTCTCTAGGTCCACAAGTCGTATTTTGTTTTTAGGTCCACATGTAGTATTTTGTCTCTAGGTCCACAAGTAGTATTTTGTCTCTAGGTCCACAAGTCGTATTTTGTCTGTAGGTCCACAAGTAGTATTTTGTCTGTAGGTCCACAAGTAGTATTTTGTCTCTAGGTCCACATCTGTACCATGTATGTGCCTATGCTACGTCTACGTCTTGCCCGAGACCGCACCGTTCATGTCCATGCCCATGCCTATGTTTATGCCCATTTTTATGTCCATGTCTGTGTCCATGTTTATGTCCATGTCCATATTTATGTCCATGTTTTTGTCCATGTTTATGTCCATGTCCATTTTTATGTCCACATTTATGTCCACCTCTATATCCAAGTCCACGTCTATATCCACGTCTTTGTCCATGTCTACATCCACCTCTATATCCACTTCCATGTCAACGTCTATATCCACGTCCACGTCTATAATCCACGTCCACGTCCATATCCACGTCCACGTCTATATCCACGTCCACGTCTATATCCACGTCTACGTCTATATCCACGTTTACGTCCACGTCCACCTGTATATCCACGTCCACCTCTATATCCACGTCCACGTCTATATCCACGTCTACGTCTATATCCACGTCTACATCCACGTTCACCTCTATATCCACGTCCACGTATATATCCACGTCTACGTCTATATCCACGTCTACGTCCACGTCCACCTGTATATCCACGTTCACCTCTATATCCACGTCCACGTCTATATCCACGTCCACGTCTATATCCACGTCCACGTCCATGTCCACATCCACCTCTATATCCACTTCCATGTCAACGTCTATATCCACGTCCTCGTCTATATCCACGTCTACGTCTATATCCACGTCTACGTCCATGTCCACGTCTATATCCACGTCCACCTCTATATCCACGTCCACGTCTATTTCCACGTCTACGTCTATATCCACGTCTACGTCCACGTCCACCTCTATATCCACGTCTACGCCAACGTCCACGTCTATATCCACGTCTACGTCTATATCCACGTCTACGCCAACGTCCACCTCTATATCCACGTCTACGCCAACGTCTACGTCTATATCCACGTCTACGTCCATGTCCACGTCTATATCCACGTCCACCTCTATATCCACGTCCACGTCTATATCCACGTGTACATCCACGTCAACCTCTATATTCACGTCCACCTCTATATCCACGTCCACCTCTATATCCACGTCCACGTCTATATCTACGTCCACGTTTATATCCACGTCTACGTCCACGTCAACCTCTATATCCACGTCTACGCCAACGTCTATGTACCTGCTAATCTCTACCTTTCTCTATCACCAAAGGGCTCAAGGAAAGGTTCCCTGAACATACTTGACCAGTCAGTAAGCGAAGACAACGCCCTGAGTAAGGTGAGCCCAATTGATCCATGTTCCTGTTCATATTCAAACCAATTTGACATTCGTGGTCTTACCTGAAGTTTGTAATCCAGTTTTAAAGTACACATTTAACCAACATAGTGTGTATGTATCACAACGATAGTAATATGAACAGAAAGTGATATTTCAACGCCAATGCGAGTTTGTTATCATTTTCTTATTGAAAAACAGCAAGAAAACCCGTTTCTTCATTCTCGTATATACGAAGTAGGCCTATAGAGAGAGTCTTGTAATCGTGCAAAAAAAATGAGATTTTTGCAAATCTCGACGTTTTATACCCCCCTGAGTCGGAAAAACATAGTTTTGCAATCTTGTCCGTATGTCTGTGTGTGCGTGTGTGTGTGTGTGTGTGTGTGTGTGTCTGTAAACACGATAACTTAAGTACCGTTACAGCTAGGTTGATAAAATTTCATATATAAGTATTATATCAAAATCGTAGATAAGTATCAACTTTTGACCGATTTCCGATCATCGGAAGTGGAACTTTTTCTACTTTAACTTTTCAAAAGCCTATAACTTGAGTACTATTTCAGATAGATAAATAAAATTTCACTTATAGGTAAAATATCTAATTCTCTATCTACAGCCATATTTTGAGTAGTTTCCGTTGACCGGAAGTAGTAATTTGCGCTATTTCCGATTTCTGAAAATAACAATTGTAAATTTAAAAAGTACTAATAATCTTGCGCACCATTATGCACATTTAATTGGTGTTCACTTGGTGTGCAATTCTTTTTTCTACGAGATTTTATTGTATTTAAAAAGTTTAAGTATTTAAAAATCATATATATTCCGAGTTGTCATCCCCTGTTGTTTTATATAAGAATATTCGAGAAAGTTTAGGGGAGATCACTTTTGCTTTATTTGTTGTTGGATTTTTAAATAATTGCGAAAAATAGTTCTTCTTATCTGGAGTGTAACTTGTTAAACAACGGTGTATTTTCTTAGAAAATTTCACAAGGTTAATTTATCACATCTATACCCATTAGGGTGCCTCTACCCCCACAACTATACCCATCCCTCCCTCAACACCTGCATGCACACACATACACACACACATACATACACATAACACTCAGTCCGTATACGTAAATACTGTTTAGAAACGTTAAATCGTGAGCTAGAAGACTTTTTACATCTCTAGTGTAAAAGATTATTTGATTAAGGGCGCACAAGTCACAACAAAAAATTTGAACACCTTTCTCCCTCTCCTAGCCCCCCCCCCCCCCTCCACACACACACAAACATATACACACGTGTTTTGTTTTTGCTTTTGTTCGATAACAAACAATTTCACTATACATATTTTTTTTTAATCAAGGGAAATACTACACACTTAGATTAACCCTTTATTTGATATACTCTGAACGTCTAAAAGAACACACAAATAACAAACTATATATATATATATATATATATATATATATATATATATATATATATATATATATATATATATATATATATATATATATATATATATATATATATATATATATATATATATATATATATATATATATATATATATATATATATATATATATATATATATATATATACATATATATATATACATAAATTAGCAAATAAAATTTAAATCTTAATAGTGTGCCTTTTATTAAATCATATAAACACAGCTACAAAACAATCGCTTTTGTTTTGTTTTTGTTTTGATTTTGTTTTGTTTTATTAGGGGGGGAGGGGTAGGCTACTACTTTTTGTCCAAGAGGATTAAAACACAAAGGATTTGATATAACTAGACGGTACTAACACACAGAATTATTGTAACCACAGGTATCGTCAAAGACTAAAAAGAAGAAATCGGATCTAACTATGGTAAGTGTTTATAATTTATAACATTGTGTGTAGAAGATATGCACTGATGCAGTTGTAGCGTTGATGTATCGGTGGAGGTATGTGATGTGGTAATTTTTTATTTAGAATGTTTTAGTTGTTTTGTTTTATAAGTGTCTAGTCTGCATTTTTAAAGTACAGTTGAAGGGAAACCATGTGCTAAGAAACATGTTCATGTGCTAAAGAATACGTCCATGTGCTAAGAAACATGTCCATGTGCTAAGGAATACGTCCATGTGCTCAGGAACAAGCCAATGTGCTAAGAAACAAGCCAATGTGCTAAGGAACAAGTCCATGTGCTAAGAAACAAGCCAATGTGCTAATGAACAAGTCCATGTGCTAAGAAACAAGGCAATGTGCTAAGGAACAAGACAATGTGTAAATAAACGAGCCCATGTGATAAAGAACATGTCAATGTGCTAAGGAACAAGTGAATGTGCTAAGGAACATATCCATTTGCTAAAGAACATGACCGTGTGCTAAGGAACATGCCCATGTGCTAAGGAACAAGTCCGTGTGCTAAGGAATAAGTCCATTTGCTAAGGAACAAGCCAATGTGCTAAAGATTTAAGCCAATGTGCTAAAGATCAAGCCAATGTGCTAAGGAACAAGACCATGTGCTAATAAACGAGCCCATGTGATAAGGAACAATTCATTATGCTAAGGAACAAGTCAGTGTGCTAAGGAACAAGTCAATGTGATAAGGAACAAGTCAATGTGCTAATGAACAAGTCAATATGCTAATGAACAAGTCAATATGCTAAGGAACAAGTCAATGTGCTAAGGAACATGCCCATGTGCTAAAGAACGTACCTGTGCTAAGGAGCAAGACCATATGCTAAGACGACTTTTACTTATTGCTTCAAGTCCCCTAGGGACCTAATGCTTGCAGCCATACCTGTCCACTAGAATCTGTTTTGAGCAGCCTTTATTTGCGCCCAAGTAAACCCGGCAGCATTTTCCTATCTTCTACAGTCCTTCTCCAGGATTTTCTTGGCCACCTTCTCCACTCTTCCCATGGGAACTCCAGTCTAGCCACGCCTTAAAAACAAACCAGAACGTTTCTTCAGAAACGCATCATTGCATTACGACATTGGCAATTTCTAGAAACATATACCAAAAAAGCAAACGAGTTTGATATTTACTGCTCTTTTAAGTAATCCAACAAAACAAGTCAATATCCCACAGCTGTGTGTATTCATTTAGTGCTCTAAACCCGATACTAGTTTGATATTAATCCCACATTATGTATACTTTAAACCAGGGGCGTCTCTAGGTCGGGTGTCACCCGGTGCGGTAACTCATGGTGTCACCCCACCCCCCCACACACACACACAAACAAAACGAAAAAAAAAGTATATTATATGCAAAAAGTATATTTTTTTCTATAATTTTTCCATTTTTTCTTGGTTTCACCCCCCCCCTCCTAAATGGTGTTACCCGGTGCTGTCCGCACCCCCCCCCCCCCCTGCACCCCTCTTCGCGACGCCTCTGCTTTAAACAATCAATGCAAATCAATTCAATGTTTTGTTTTATACAGGAGGACAAAAAACTAGAAAAAACATCGAGTGAGAGGTTAAGGGACGGTAAAAGTGCAATGACAAAGCTAAGGGGCAGGGTACGTATTCAAATGTATTTACAAAATGAATTTGCGCTTTTTTTTTAAATACTGGTGTTAGTTTTCATTTATATATATATATAAATATATATATATATATATATATATATATATATATATATATATATATATATATATATATATATACACCTACACCTACACCTACACCTACACCTACACCTACACCTACACCTACACCTACACCTACACCTACACCTACCCCTACACCCACACTCACACCTACACCCACACCCACACCTACACCCATACCTACACCCAACACATACACCAGCACTCACAATCACACAACCACCTACACGCATACGTTCACGTATATACTTTTAAAACCACCCATGTTGCAGTTGAGACCCAATGATGAGGCATTTAAAATCGAGACTTCCTGGTCTAAGGAGATGATTCAAGATGGCTCTTCTTACGAATCAGTAAGGCCATGGCTATAGGATTAATTTTTAAAGTCTATCCTCGGACTAAGATTAAGATATATGCTTATGTTTAATCCTTTCATTATT